CCTCCTCCTCCTCCTCCTCCTCCTCCTCCTGTTTTATTATCCAGTTCATGTCTTTTTATTGGGGAATTGAAACTATTGATAATATAATTAACCTTTGCTGACTGAAGTTTTCCTTCTGGTGCCTTCTGTAGATCTGGATTGGTAGATAAAAATTGCTTAAATTGGGTTTTATTATAGAATGTTTATTTTCTTTCTCTGTCAGTTGTTAGTGATAGTGATAGTTTTGCTGTGTATAGTATTCTGGGCTGTCATCTGTGGTCTCTCGGAGTTTGTAGAACATCCATCCAGGCGCTGGTTTTCAGAGTCTCCATTAAGAAGTCAGATGTATTCTAATAGGCCTGCCTTTATATGTGACTTGGTCTTATCCCTTAAATCTTTTAACATCCTTTTTGTTGTTGTTCTGTATGTTTAGTGTTTTGATTTATGTGTCATGGGGAATTTCTTTTCTGGTCCCATCTGTTTGGTGTTTTGTTTGTTTATACTTTGATAGGCAACTTTCTCTTTTGATGGAGAAATTTTCTCCTATGATTTTGTTTAAACATTATTTTATTTGCCTTTGACATGGTTTTCTTCTTCCTCTATTCCTATTATTCTTAGATTTGGTCTTTGCATTGTGTCCCAGATTTCCTGGATGTTTTATGCCTGGCTATTTTTGGATTTAACATTTTCTTTGACTGAGTTATCCATTTCTTCTGCTTTGTCTTCAATGCCTGAGATTCTCCATGTCTTGTAATCTGTTGGTAAGGCTAACCTATGAAGTTTTTTTTTGATCTCCTAAATTTTTCATTTCCAGGTTTATCTCAGTTTACTTTTTTTTAGTGATTCTGTTTGTATTTGAAATGTTGATTCCATTGTGTTTTCATGGTCTTCATTGAGGCATTTATTCATACCCTCTTTAACATACTCACAATTGGTATTTTGAAGGCCCTCTCTGTGCATCACTTAAATTACATTTCTCGGGGCCTATTGTAATAGGGTTGTTTCTGGAGGGACATGTTGTCTTTGCTATTTCTATTTGCATTTTGGGGCTCGGATCTAAGTATCTGGAGTTAAGATGTTTGAGATGTTTCTTGGTGTAGATATGTGGACTTGTTTTTTTTAGGGTAAGTGTTTCATTCTTTGGTTGTTGTTGCCCTTTCTGGATCCTATTTAATTGTGATGCTCTGGGATTCCTGGTTGAGAGTGCTTTGTGGTTAGGTTGGCAGGACACAAAGATGGGATAGAAGAAAAGGCTGAGAGGGGCAGTGAGACCCTGGGTCCCTACCCAGATGGCAGATAATACTGTTGAATGAACTAACTGGTAGTGGTTCATCTCCATAGTGAAGTTACAGGATTGCAAGCTTTTTTTTTTTTTTTTTGCTGTTTGAATTTTGAAGACATTTGAGTTGTACTATTAATAGCTTCCCATTAAGCTCGTACTTATAAGTCTGAGTATTGTCAGTCATTCCCAAGAGACTAAAAAAATAGGAGTGAGTAGAGAACGGCTCCCTAAGGAAGACTAGAGTGGGAGGGCGTTTGCAGCCTTTAACATGCTGAAGAAGGGTATAGTAGTGCATGTTGTCAGATTTGGCCAGGTGTATTTTTCTTTCATTGTTACCAGAACTAGACACCCATCCCTATGGCAAATTTAGGGGAGGAGAGGGAGTAAAAACAGAGCTCCAAGTGTACCAAGCTTTCACAGGCTAATCAGAGTAGAATGCTGATGTCTGCCAAATGAGTATCGTGTGGGCTCCACTGCTTAGTCACCAAGTGCATTACTTAGGGATCTGTTTATGAAAGAGGCCCAAAGGTTTCTTCGTTCGGAGACTGTGGTGGCTAAAGGGATGTGACATTTACATGTCCTTTGACAACAGCATGGGAAGCTAGGATGAGTCCTTAGCCCATACGAAGCTGTAGTGTAAAGAGGAAACCAAGCAGAGTAGCTGCAGTCTCTTTGAATCTGAATTAATTTTGAGCAGAAGGCTGACACAGCCTCAGGCACCCTGTGTCCCAAGACAGCTGAGTAGCCCAACACAAAAATGTGTAAACTTACTTAAAGCCTGAATTCCACTCTTGAACATATACACACAGAACCCTGTTTCCTGCCACAGAGATATTTGCCAGGAAATGAAACGAACCTAGTCCAACAGATGCATGGATAATGAAAGTACGATGTGTGTGTGTGTGTGTGTGTGTGTGTGTGTGTGTGTGTGTATAGTAGGATATTATTTAACTCTAACGAAAAGTTAAATTACAAGATTTTCAGGAAAATGTAGACTTAGAGTATATAATATTAAGCATCATCAGCCAATCTGGGGGTTGGGAAGGTGGTCAGTCCCTCTTGCTGATTCTTGAGGATGAACTTTGAGTATGGCAACATCATGTCACAAAGTCAAAAGGGTGGACATACCTGACTGGCACATTTACTTCTGCTTTGGATTAAAAGCCTTTGCTTTTATAAAAATTTGAATTTGACTAACTGGCAGCTTAAATGTTGAAATTGGGTGAACCTTTGGGAAAAGACCTTAGTCTCGGGTCTGAAAAAACATTGTTTTGTTTCATCCATTCAAATTGTTGATTAGTGTTAAGTTACTTGAGAAAGCTAATGGTGGGGACAAGAGTCCTGCCAGGAAATTTATTAGTTAAGGAATATTTTAATATTAAGTACAGTGTAGTAAGAGCTACTCAGATTTTGTGTCATGTTATTTTACTCTCACCCCACCCAGTGGTGCTAGGTGTCAAACCCGAGGTCTTCTGTATGCCAGGCAAGCACTGTGCCACTGAAACATAGTCCCATCTCAAGTTACTCACATTTTACTCATACCTAGCTCAGATTCAAGTAGGTTAGCTGAAAACATGGTCAAGTAAAGGTCAGTTAAAGAATAGCTTTTATAGTTGAATCCTTAGGGTAGTAATGCTTCCTTATTACATTTGTAAACTGTGATTTTGATAGCTGACCTGTGGTACATTTCTGGTTTTGTCACACTTGACATGGCAGTCCTAGCTCACTGAGCTAGTACCTGCTTGTGCTGCTGGCACCTACTCACTCATGGCACACCCCCCCCCCCCCAGTTTCAGAACAAAATGTTGTTCTTTCCCTTAGTGACATTATAGCTATACAAATCTTTTTGACATATGTACATACAGTATGTGTGCTGTTTTCTTTCCTTCCTAATAAGACTGAAAGTTCTGGGGCTCAACACTGTAAGAGTACCTGTTACTCTTCCAGAAGACCTGGGCTTACTTCCCAACACCCATGTGGCAGATCAAAACTCCTGTTCCAGGAGATCCAGTGCCCTCTTCTGGCCTTCAAGGGCACCTGACATGCACACCGTGTGCATACATACATGGGGACAAAACACATGCATAAGATAAAATAAATCTTTAAAAAAGACAGCAAGTACCTTGAGAAATAGTCTGCTGGTTTTGTTTGTTTTATATATTTTTGTTGTAATGCTGGGGATTGAGCCCAGGGCCCTACTGTATGTGTTAAACAAGCATTCTCTCACTAAGCTGTATCCACAGCTAGTTTTTAATACTAAACAGAGTAGCATAAATTCTGAGTGAGTTAGTGCAGCAGGTAAAGGCACTTGCACCAAGCCTTACCTGGATTCAGTACCCTCTATCCACCATGGCGGAAGGAAAGGCATGACTTTATAGGTTGTCCTCTGACTTCCACATGAAGGTCATGATATGAGTGCCCCCTAATAAGGAACAAATGCAGAAATAAGTGGGAGAATGTAATTTAAAAAGTAAGAGGTTCCCCTTAAGAGTTCTGATTCATTTGCCAATAGGCTGATTTAATAGGAAGAAGGGTAGCTCTAAGCAATCTAGGTGTGTCTCGCAAGACTCACACTCCAGAGTGTGGCTTCTTCATACCAGAGCTATTCTTACTATAAAACCTCATTAAAGAAGTATTGTTCTCTAACTTAGTATGTTTTCCTTTGTGTTTACATCTCCTAATGGTTGATGTTACTATCGCTTCCCACAAGATGGCAGACCAGACCCCCTTTTCACATGCTAGATGTCAACCAGTTTTTAAAACACCTTGCTCACACCCTTGATTTCTCTCTTGCTTTAGGTGGGCAGTGTCAAACCGAGAAATGCTCATAGCCCAGAACAGCTCCTTGGAGTTTAAGCTGCACCGGCTGTACTTCATTAGCTTGTTAATGGGTGGAACTACAAACCAGCGGGAAGCCTTACAGTATGCGAAAAATTTCCAGCCATTTGCCCTAAATCATCAAAAAGGTGAGTCTGGAGTCAGACATCTGTTTTCCTTTGTACTTTGGGAAGGGAACCTGGGCAGGGTAGGGAGTGTACAGGGAATGGAGACAGTCTTTCTGCATAGTCCAGGCTGGTCCCAAACTTGTGACCCTCCTGTGCCCACCTCCAGAATGCTGGGAATACAGGTGAGCACCACTAGCATGGCTTGAGTCAGAGATTCTTTAGATTTTTAGTGTTTGGAAGGAGCCAGGAGCCCTCACTTGGTGTCTGTCATACACATTTGCTAGTGAATAAAATTGTTGGGATAATGGATAATAGAAACACTGCACACTGACACTAGAGCAGCAGGACACCATTGAAGCCACAGCTATTGCAGAGTTGGGGATTCCTTAATGTAAGGACACTGACAAAGGTGTGCATGCTCCTTGGACACTCCTGTATCACCATGTGCTGCTTTCACAAGTCAGTGTGGTGAGTATGGCCACTTCATCACCAAACATACGTGACAGTTAAAGACTAGAAATTCCGAGTTCAGTATTTTAGTGCTTTCCTTTTCTCATTCTCTCCCATGCTGTGTCCTTAGTTTAGGGGCAGGGACTTTGCAGTGAAGCTTGGGGACCGTAATGTTTACATTATTTTAGGATGTCTTCCATAGGCTGGAGATGTTCTCAGCTTTCTCACCTGTTGTTCACAAGTCAGTGCAGTTTCAGACATGACTGTGCACACCTTCATTTGCTGTGCTTTCTTTAGACATTCAGGTGTTGATGGGAAGCCTCGTGTACCTGAGACAAGGGATTGAGAACTCACCGTATGTTCACCTGCTTGATGCAAACCAGTGGGCTGACATCTGTGACATCTTTACACGGGATGCTTGTGCCCTCCTGGGGCTCTCTGTGGAGTCTCCTCTCAGTGTCAGGTGCAGTAATGGTCCTGCTTGCTCTGAAATGGGCACTATATTGGGCAACTTTGCCTGTTGCCTTTATGATTAACCCAGTAGATTGTGTTGTCTCTCTGGGGAAGTGTACAGTGGGTACTTTAAGTGTCTGCTATAGTTGGCAGGGACAGTTTTAGGACAGCTGTTCTCCAAGTGTGGTCTGGAAACTGGCGAGTCCAAAACCCCCTTTCCACTGATGACCTTTGCACAGATGAAGGTCTGTGTTGTGGGGGAATTGACACCAGCCTTACCAGGTACTCTCTGTGCTTCCCCACTACCTTGCTAGCTGCCTAGGAAATGCTTGTTGAGCTTGCAGTGCCTTGGGTAGGCAGTAAATACTTGCTTTAAGTTGACATTTGGGTCTACATCTTTTTAGCATTCTGAGTAAATAGGGCATTTTCACAAAGCACTTAGTTTCATGCCCTAGGGTGATGCTTGAGATAAAGCATCTGTATAAAGTTATGAACTGTCTTGTCATAGAATATGGTTTTTGTTGTGGAATATTACTTTAACTATGTAAAGGTGTGTTTATATTTGTTTGTGCTGCATTTGTTTAACTAGGTAAAGATGTATTACATTAATAAAAAGCTGAACAGCCCATAGCTAGGCAGTAGAGGAATAAGCGGAGCTCTTGGGCAGAGAGGCTAAATAGGAGGAGGAATCTAGGCTTGGGAGAGAAGAATGAGGGAGATGCTGGGCCAGCCAGCAGCTGCCAGTCAGCCAGACATGGAGGAAGCAGTGAAAGTAGGACATTCAGAATGAAAGTAAGGTAAAAAGCCCCAAGGCAAAATGTAAATAAAGAGAAAGAGGTTAAAATGAGTTACTAGAGCTAGTGGGACAAGCATAAGCTAAGGCGGCGTACTCATAACTAATAATAAGTCTCCCTGTCATGATTTGGGGCTGATTGGTGGCCAAAAGAGAGCCTGCCACAGGTTTTTACTTGGAATAATTTGCAATAAACACTCCAATGTAGTGTGTTTATTGTGATTTTCAGTGAATTAGTATGTTTTAATTTTTGGGGTTTTTTTTTTGGGGGGGGGGGTTCGAGACAGGGTTTCTCTGTGGCTTTGGAGGCTGTCCTGGAACTAGCTATTGTAGACCAGGCTGGTCTTGAACTCACAGTGATCCACCTGCCTCTGCCTCCCGAGTACTGGGATTAAAGGCGTGAGCCACCAATGTCCCGCTAGTACGTTTTAATTTTTAACATTAGGTTATGTAATCCACAGAACCAAAACCACAGTTACTCACATTTTGGATTTGACAGTTATTTTTCCAAGTGGTTGACGGAAGCTAAGGAAACAAGTGATGCCAAATAAGTGTTTCTTTTGACATAATGATAAAGGTTAAAAATTTAGGCTAAAGTTGAAATTTTGGGTATGAGCTTGTAAAGTCTTTTCTGATGAGTTTGGTGATGGGATTGTAGATTTTTCTATATTGTAAACTGGAGGGAAACTTTGGAAGGTGTAATTCATATAACCTTACCTAGTCATACTCATAGAGAAGAGACTCAGAAATACTCTTTCCCTTTAAATGTGAAGAAGGACAGTCCGCTGTGCTTGGAGGCAGGCATCAGTCAGCACTTTAGTGCCCTGCTTTCTGAAGGAGGTGACTGGGGGGTGGGGGCGTTCATGCTTCTCATGGTGGCTCCTCCCTTTCGGCACCAATGTCAGTGCTGACCCTCTTCTGATAGGGCAGAACCAGCTACTATTTTTTTTAATTGCTGAGGAATTAAATGAAAATTAAACCATCCAATCAGAAAATGGTCTTTTTAACGATTGTTCTTTTTTTCTTTTTCTTTCTTTCTTTTTTTTTTCCCCATTTCTGCCATACTGGCTAAGCTTATGTGGTAGCATTAGGGTTTTATGTTTTGTTTGTAAAGGGTTTAGTAACTACAGGAAATATAGCTGAGGGCTGGGAGCAGAAGGATTGGGGGAGAAAATCAGTTCATTTTACTTTCAGAGGAAACAGCTGCCTGGCTCTTTGCTTTGGGGTTGGCACCCTTGGAGTTGGCCCTGATGCTTCTCTTTTGTCCTCAGTTTCTCGGCAGGTTGTGTGGCACTGCCAGCACTAATCAACATCAAAGCTGTTATTGAACAGAGGCAGTGTACTGGAGTCTGGAACCAGAAAGACGAATTACCTGTGAGTTCTATTGTTTGTTTTCCCTTCCCACCTTAGAAATTGGGTGTTTTGCTGGGCAGTGGTGGTGCACGCCTTTGATCCCAGTGCTTGGGAGGCAGAGGCGGATGAATCTCTGTGAGTTCAAGTCCAACCTGGTCTACAGAGCGAGTTCCAGGACAGGTTCCAAAGCTACACAGGGAAACCCTGTCCTGTAAAACAAAAAAAAAAAAAGAGGAGGAGGAGGAGGAGGAGGGAAGGAAGGAAGAAGAAAGAAAATGGATGTTTTAAGAGTTAAAATGCTCATCATGCCATTTAATCAGAAAACACTATTGTACCCATTTAACGGGTTTGGTTTTAATGCACATAACATGAGTAAAAAATAAGGTTGGGAGTATAGTTTTGGGTCCAACACCACTCTAAAAAGGAAACAAATCAGTTAACTAATTAAAATAGACCTGAGGGAGTGATGGCACACACTAATTCCAGCACTCAGGAAGCAAAAGTAGGCAGATCTTTGAGTTTGAGACCAGCCTGGCCTACATAGTGAGTTCCGTAAGCAGGTGCCCAGCTTGGGCAATTTTATTTACTGTCTGTGAGCATCTTTGAAATTTGCACACTGAAGTAGAGCAATCAGTAGGATCCAACTGACAGTGTGTATTGGGGGCTAGGAAAGCAACAGGAGGTAGTGGCTGGTAATCCTTCCTCAGGATTACTTTGATGTGCTTTGGCTTTTGTCCTCCTGTTTTTGTTTTTAAAGATGCTCTTACTATGTGTCTCATTTAGTTTCCTCTGGGTTTGTAGGTCTGTTCCACCATTTTTGTGGTAGTGTAGTTTGGACTCAGATCCCTGTGAATACATCTCCTACGCTTTGTCAATTTTCCTTAAAGAACCTTTTATTTTTGTTTATTTTTTGAATCAGTGTTTCACTGTGTATCCCTGGCTGGCATGGAACTCCATGAATAGATCAGGCTTGGCCTCAAGCTCAGATTTCCTTTCTCTGCTGGGATTAAAGGTGCCACCACACCTGGCAGTGAAGTTCTTGTAGAACTATAGCTGTTGCAGATTGAGAAGGAAGGGAAACAATGTGTGTGTTGAGGTTCTGGGGTGAAGCAGCTGCTCTGCTATATGACTTCAAGCTTTTATATAATTAGATATGTTTGTGGCAAAAATATAATGGTGATAGCATGCCATGAGCTTTAGTGTACAAATCACAAAAGATCCTGTTGAGATTTGGCTCAAGCAGATACTGGTGGTACAAGCTTGTAATTCCAGGCACTTGGAAGGCTAAGGCAAGGGCATCACAAGTTCAAGGCCTGCCTAGACAACTTATGAGATCCTATCTCAATAAGCAAAAAAAAAAAAAAAAAAAGCATGTGCATAAGGGATAGGATTGGGGTGCTGGCTTCAAGCTGCCTAGCCACATGCAAAGCCCTACATTGGGTTCCCACCACTGCAAAATAAGAAAAGAGAAAGGGGGGGGGCACAAAACTTGGCTTACCTCCCTGTTTCAGGTTTTCTCTGGACCACTTCACACAAATGACATAGGAAACTCAGACCTAAAGTTCATACAGAAGATAACTATATTTAGGCTGTGCTTGGAGGAGTTGTTTCACTGAGTTTATCACCTAACCGAGTGCTGCCTACAGGGCAGTCAGGATATCTGGTGGTTTTGCCTTTGATATATATGTTCTAATAAATTTTCAAGGTGTTTAGGCTGGGGATGTGGCTTAGTGGTGGTCACTTGTGGTCTAGGCTGTGAGTTTGCTGCCTGATACCACCAACAAAAAAGTATTGGTTTCTGAAGCATGGTATCTGATTCCTTCAGACCCCAAAATCTGGTTTACAAAGTAGTAGTGTAGTTTTGCAGACCAGTTTAACTCAACTTTGAATCTTAAGACTTCCCTTTCTTTAAGACAGTTCCCCTAGAGTCACTCCAAACATGTTCTTGCTGCACCGTGCACAGGTGTCTGGAGCGTTTTCAGGGTTTCACGAGCCTTTCTACATTTTTCTTTTCTGAACAGATTGAAGTGGACCTTGGTAAGAAGTGCTGGTATCACTCCATATTTGCCTGCCCCATTCTTCGTCAGCAAACAACAGATAACAATCCACCCATGAAATTGGTTTGTGGTCATATTATATCAAGAGATGCCCTGAATAAAATGTTTAATGGTAGCAAGTAAGTGTCTGATTTCTTAACATTAAATAAACCTTCTTGTGTAAAGATAAGATGTAATAAGGATACATGAATGAAGCTAGAGTTATGTAGTTATTTACTTATTTGATTCTTTGAGACAAGGTTTCTCTGTGTAGCCCTGGCTGATCTGTAGACCAGGCCAGCATCAAACTCAGACTTGTGTCTGTCCCTGCTTCCCAAGTGTTGGCATTAAAGGTGTACAGCACCATGCTCAGCCCATAATTAGATTTAGAAAGTAGTTTCTTAACTATTTATCAAAAGTGGATAACATCTAATCTCTTTTGTTAGTTTAATCTGCTCAAGGATTTGGTGATTAGATTTATAAATGTAGTCTTATTCTTTGGGTGGGCATCCCCTCCCTCCAAGCTTTTAAGGGTAATGTACTGTATATACCCTTCTCCCTTCTGTGATTTGCTTTTCTTAATTGGGAATTTTATTTTTGAGATCTTTTTATAGTCAGCAAAAGAGCCCTTTGTTATTGTTACAGTTACCAGAATAGCATGGCATGCTTCTACATGCTTATAATCCCAGCATTTGAGTAATAGAGGCAGGAGGATCTGAGGTTCAAGATCATCCTCAATTACATAGCAAGTTGGAAGGGCTATCCTGAACTATATAAAAATTTTTCAGCCTGCTTCCTGCTTTCATCCCCCCAAAATGTAGACTACTCTGTAGTATGGAAATACTATTATTTAGTCAGTTTCCAATTGATGAATCCAGTGCCAGCATGTGTTATCCACATGTGATAAATTCCTACCATTGTAAACACGGTTCAAAGTGCATAGACCTTGGTAATTTTTGTAGATAATGAGCCCAACTTAAAAAACAAAAAGTCTCAGAGGTAGTCTAGCTTAGGTAGTTAGGGGAGTCTTCACTGCTGCTGGTTCTGGCCCCATTATGGTAAAACCCTTTCCTGCAAGGTCTCTTGATAGAAAGAAACTGTTTGTGCCCTTCCCAGACAACACAGATCACTGGTGTTGTCTGGCAGTGCAGATCACTGGTGACCTTGTTCACATGGAGCCAGTGTTCTTTGTCACTGAAGGGTATGTGGGCTGTTCTTGGTGCAGGCTTGGCAGCTCACAACGGATTTGCTGTCCTTGAATAGATAACACAGTTCACACATTTGAAATTCACTTAGGGGAAGGTGCAGTGTAAACCTTGGGTGGACTAAGATTAGATTTACTTCTGAAACTCAAGAATCAGTTTTCAGAAAATGGTCTTTGTTTTACTGCAAAACAGTTTTCATCAGTTACTAAGAATTAAAGAAGCTTTCCAGTGAAGATCTGACCGAGGTGTTAATTTTCTGTGACCCTTGAAAGCCTGGCTAGCAGTTACATTAAGAGAGCGTAGCTAATCCTCCAGGCAAAGTAAACATAGAAGCTGTGCTTTTGTACATGTTGTAGGTGTGTGTGCCTGAGTGGAAATGGAGAGCTCAGTGCTGACATTGTTTGACTCATTCTTTCTATCTTGTATTTAGATTAAAATGTCCATATTGCCCAATGGAACAAAGTCCAGGAGATGCCAAACAGATATTTTTCTGAAGAAATGAGTTTGTTTGCAATTTGTAAGTGAAACTGAATTATGGGTACATTCGAGACAAGAGCGATCCATTGACTGCAGCTATCCAAGGACTGCCGGGTTAATAAGCTGTGCACCAGAAGCTGCTGACACGCGAGTGTGCACAAGGGGAGTGCTCCAGATGGGTGTTACATAGGGCTTTTTTCACTCTTGGTCTTCGTTTCTGATCAAGTAAATACACCAGCAGTTGTCATTCAGTGCAGGTTTTTGTACTTACTATATGGCGATTTTTTTACTTAAAAGCAGAAACAGAAGTTGACCTTCCTGGCATATGTTTGATATTCCTCCTGCTTTTACTTCTGTCATTTTCTCGATAATTGTAAGCTTGAGCGTGTTTGTGGAAGAACTTTCTTTCTTGTTATGTATACATAATTAAATGAAAATTCTTCATAGTAGTTTGACAGATTGAATTGTGGTTATACAACGAATTTGCTTTTTTGTTTGGTTTTGTTTTTCTTTTTGGCTTAAGAAAGCTGTGATAAATTCCAAATTTATGTTGCTTTTTGATGTTTTACTCTGCTCCAGCTCTTGCTTCAAAGTCAGCCCGCCTGCATTTGAGTTGTCCATAGCCCCAGCAGGCTTCCTGTTTAAAATCCCATCATGAATTTAGCAGGCTGATGTGAGAATGAAAGAAATATTACTGGTTCTTTGCTTTTATTACCAAGAGGTGCTTTTTAAAAAGTGTATTTAATAAATGGAATTCTGAAGTTAGGGTGTTACTAAGTTGATGTGTGCTCTCTCGGTCTGAGCACCCTGCCCTTTGAAATCTGCCTTCAAGACTTGGCTGGGTATCACATTAGTTTGTCATCATAGACACACGGTGTTGTGCATGTGTATATAAATACGCACACCAGCATCAAACATTGTGTATGTGGAAGGGAAGAAGCATGTTCCAGTTCTAAATGCAGTTGCCAGACTCATCACTTCAGGTCCTTAAGGATAGACGCTAGTAACTTTGTGTACTGTGGACCACGTTTACTGCTGTTTTGTGTTGAGTTAGTATATTGTTCATGCCTCTCTTCTGCAGTGTGTCTTATTGAGTTGACTGTGAACCTGTACATTAATCAGATGGCTACAGATAATGATCTTTTCTTTTGTGAGGTATCTTCATTTAATGCACTGCCCAGAAAGAGCCGTGTGTAGGAGTTATTCTCTGAATGAGGAACTGCATGGAAAGGACTTCTGTGGACATAATTCTGACTTAAACCCATGAAATACTTCACATCGAGAAGAGTGCTGTGTGGAAATCACCAAATAGTTCACAACTTTATTTCATCTGACATAGATCTGAATATCAACATAGGAATATCCTCACGAGAAAATGAAAAACGTAAACACAGAAGCAGAGAGAAATGTGACTCTTCCGGTTTTAAACTACAGATGGACTTGGTTTAAGGGGATGGGGATAACAGCTTTGGTGCTAAGTTCATTAGAAATTGACAGTGTTCACAGTGGTATACTAGCCTGCATGGTCATTTCTGAAATGTTTACCTGGGAGAGCTGGCATTTGCCTGTGAAGGGAAAGAATAATACTGCAGGAAAGCCCTGTGCCATGATCAGGTGGTCAGTTTCACGTTGATGGCTACCATTTGCCATGTAGGTTAGCCGGGATCATGATTGGCCCAGCTCAGAGTGCATGCTTTGTTCAAACTCAGCCTGGCTCACGATGACTTGTGCTTCAGTGTTGGGATGCTCTGTGAGGTCCCCCGTGCCCCATGAAGCAGTGAAAGAGAGCAGAGATAGATGCCTCTGAACTGTAGGAGAAAGGCATAGTGCCAGGCAGTATCCTGTTGGAGTAAACTTGTTTACTATAGATAATCTTTCCTTTGAATTAAATTCTAGAGTGTCAGGCTTTTTTTTTTTTTTTTTAAACAACTTTGATATTCCTAAACCAAATTTAGTTTTTAGGGTTTTTTTTCCGCATAACTTATTCTTACCTTCCAACTTCAAACATCTACATGACATTTAGACTTAGCATAAAAATTTGTGTGATACAGACATGTTCTTGAGGCTGGTGGCAAATTTTTTTGGAAACAAGACACTTCACACAGTGGGCTCAGGCCATCTTAAGGACAAAGGCTCTGCCTGGTCCTCCTGGTGCTGGGAGTCACATTGGCAGTTTCTTGTGAAGCTCATGAAACTTTAAAAAGAATGAGTTTTAACAAGTATTTGGCCTTACAGCTTCCTCTGTAAAGTAAGGTCTTATAGTCCCACTGGACAGGGAGGGCAAGAGCCAAAACCAGAAACTTGATCTGACAATTTATCGTGGAAATTAGGTCTTAAGGTTTTCTTTAACTGTGTGGACTTTAATCTGTGAGAGACTGACTGCAGCAGAGGTGGATTTGAAGAAGCCAGATCTTGACCAAAGATGCTGAAGTACAACATTAGGACCTTTGTACTCTAGAACCTTCTTCACATGGTAGCATGCAGGAGGATGCCATCTGTTTCTTTCAGCCTCTTGTTAGAGAAGGTAATGCTGGAGGCAAGGGTTGCCAGTCACATGGATAACAGGCATTGGAAACAGCCACAGAATGGCTTCTTTGAGAGCCATTTGCTTTCCCGGTAGTGGACAAAGGCTGCCATGGGACTCTGCTAAACCAATATAACCTTATTAGCAAACCTTTAGATTCTGGTGTAGCCAGAGCCTCTCCACAGTGGCTAAGGTTGTCGTTAATCTTTTTCTCCTTTGTGTGATCATCGCAGATGCCATTTCTGTTTTATTGATGATTATATGATTAGACTTTTAATACATAAATGAACGGGTATTGGTGCCTCTTTTATTTTTAAAAAAAAAATTGAAGAAAAGAGCCACCTCATATTCATAGAGTATGTATTTTGTGAGTATGTGAGCTTTTAATTGAAAATAAGAAAGTTAGGAAGTAAATTTTTCGTTGTACTTTTTCCATAGCAGCTAATGTGTAGGGAGACATTAAACCCACACCAAATCATGTGGGGATGAGGATCGCCCCCCCCCCCCAATCATCCTCTCCAGGTAGCCAGTCCCATAGGCTGTGCAGTTCAGACTCCCATGTTTCCACCTTGGTGGTGTCAGCCTTTGGGACAGTGCATATCAAAAGCCAAGAACTCTTGGTTTGTCTGCACAATTCAAGCTGCTGGTAGACTACACAAGCCCTCTGGTTTCCCAGCTCAACCTCTCATAAAGTAGACTGTCAGCCATGCTGTCAGTCTGTTTTAGTCAGCTGACTCAGGTTATCTTCAGGGAAAGTGTGGAGACATGGATTGTTCAGATCATCTCTAGGATATGTATGGTGAAGACAAACCAAATACTTTTCACCATTGAACTGTCTGTACATTATTTTGGTAAAAATAGAATACTGTGGTCCTGGGGAACACACAGAGGGAACATGTAGCAAGGACCACATACAAAGCTCGATGTTTCATAACCCTGCAGCTGACGGGTTGTATGTGGTACTGTAGTGTTCACCATAAGCAGGTACAAGCTTCATGAACTTTTCATACTGAACTATAATTGAGTAGATACCAAAAAACAGAGTGGCAAATGTATTTTAGTAGCAGATGAGGCAGTTAGTTTTAGGGTGAATTTTCCACTGTTGATTTTACTTCAAGATGTAGCAAGAGAAATTTTTTTAAGGTGTTTTTAAGCTGTAGCAGGCATATGCTTCATTTACTTCCAAAGAGGCAAAAAGCAACTAGACTCGCTTGTACTCGTGCTTCGTTCCATGGTGTGGGGGGATACCTACACTGTTCTTAGTAGCAGTCTGAAGCTACTCACAGCCAGGCAGGTGAGGGGTTCTGTAGGATTTAGTGCCTGAACATTTCTTCTGGGAAGGGGCTGGAGTGAATGTACTGGGGTGGCAGGAAGGAAACAGGAGTGTGAGTGGGTGTGCATGTGTGGAAATTCACCATCACCCCCGCAGCTAGCAGGCAACCGCTGTCGGCCCCGTCACTCATGACTGCAGCGTGCATGTATTTCTTCACCATGTTTTCTAACTACACTAAGAATTCATCAGCTCATCTCTTGCTCAGATGGCTCAGGATTCTATTCTTTGGCTTACCCCATGCTCCTGGGTTCTATAGTGTTTATATAATTATGAATAGTGTTGCACTGTAATCTATCATATAGAGCTATATGTATGGAAATTTTTGATCAGTTTTTTTAAGAGATGTATCCTGTTTGCAAAGGCACAATAAAATTGCATCTTCTAGATTATAGGCAATAAAGGTAACAATAAACCTTACTTAAATCATACTGATACTCTCTGCTCATTTGATTTTTTGGGGGAAAAAAAGTCTAACATATCCAGTAGTTTCAGGGATTTCATTTAACTTAAAAATTCTGATATATTTAATTTATAAATTTCGGACTTATATAATAGAGTTTGGAAAACTATAAGAAATGCTTTGTTAATGTGTGTATTCCTATGTAAAACACATGGCTTCTCCCGTGTATATTTTTTAAGATTAAAGAATTGCACATTTAAAAAGTGTTTTGTGGAACTGGTCTGTGAACTTGGCCAGGTGACAAGGCCCGGTGGGGTGTGGAGGTGCTACTGGTGCGAGGAGAAAGCCCCTGTCAGCAAGTGTCTTTATGCATGGGGAGGACAGAAAGTGTCTTTGTCAACATCTCACCACCAGGAGTGTGGGAAGAAGAGGTGACTGGACACCTTCTAGAGCTTGAGATGAGGAGACACTGTTTCCAGGTTGCTGGGGTAAGGGGGTGTACCTCAGCACTGCTGGGCGAGAACAGAGGCTGAATTGTCTAGCCTCAATATGAAGCTAAGAACAAGAAGCGAAGTTCTCTTGTCATAGAGAACAAGAATTTATTTGTGTTCCTTTTTCTAGTTTTTAAAGAGGTTGAGATTGTTACCAAGGGAAAGTCTTGTCTCATGAAATGGCTTTAAAGAGCCCCTAGAGGCAACCTGAGTGTTGGACAGTCTCAGAGCAGAATTGTGCCATCATAATTTGGTTTCCCTTGGTGTCTGTCCTAGTTTTCTATTGCTGTTACAAACACCGTGACCGTGACCAGAAGCATCTTGCCTATTAGCCGGTCTATTGGAGGCAATTCCTCGATTGAGGTTTCCTCTTCACATTGACAAAGCTAACCAGTACAGTATCATTGAGGAAAAAGCCCTACATAAATTCTACCTTTTAGTCGACTTAAACATTGCTAATTGGGGGTGGTGGTACATGTCTAGGCAATATATTGGCAACTTCCAACTCTGTATGATACCTTTGCCACATTATGGTAACAGTTGCCAAGGCTACTTTAGGTGAAGGGCATGACAGCCAAAAACACTATTTGGACCTGCAGGTATCTGATGGTGACTGAACTTGATGAAAATGTTTGATATCTCTTCCTTTATGTTGCATCTATGTAACATGCATTCTAATAGGTCTTAGTAAAAATCTGGAGTCAGATACCTGGGTAAATACTGAAAGGTCAGAAAGGTAAAGGAGCCAGCCACAAGGGAGACCTTTTACCTCTACTGAATCCTCAGACCAAAGGGGTGATCCTCTCCTATGAATCCTCAGACTGAATGTTCTGAGCTCCTGTCTCTGCCTTATATTCCTCTCTGCCCAGCCATATCAGTCCTGCCTCTGCCTCCCTGAGTGCTGGGATTAAAGATGTGTGCCACTACTACCTAACTAGCTCTATGGCTAACTACTGTGACTAGCTCTGCACCCTGACCTTCAGGCAAACTTTGTTAGATCACAAACAAAATAGTCACACAACTATTTCCTTGTTGCTCTATTAACCTTTGAGTTGGGTCAGGTATGTAGACTTGTTGATCATTTGAGGAATGACCAGTGCTGTCACAAAACAGGGTTGACTCACTAGACTTGCCTAATGATTTCTCCCCTGCCAACTCCTATTGAAGGCTAGTGACACCTACCAATCACTATGACACAACCCAGGTCATCACAGCAGTGAAAAAAAAAAGTGACAGGGCCTGGAGAGATGGCTCAGTGATGAAGAGTATTAGTTGCTCTTTCAGAGAAATAACCACACAGTGGCTCCCAACCATCCATCCATTCATTACTCTAGTTCCAGGGGACCCCATGTCCTCTTCTGACTTCTTTTGGTGCCAGTCATGCATGTGGTGCACATGTGTACATGCAGGCAGAACACTCACTAAAAAGTGACAGTTGAATTCCTCAAAGATCATCCCCCTCCTTGCTGAAGAGACATGAATGTCTATCCCCCTGGTCAGGCCATCTCCCTGTATCTGTGACTCCCATAAGTCTCAGGAGTGGGGAAGCTAAATTATGAGCAAAGCTCCCTCCTTTTCATTCTGTGGCCATAGAACAAAGCCTTTCTGCCCAACACTCGCCTCTCAGGCTTTGGTTTCCTATGGTCTATGCTTTGCCACCTGAGTCTGTTAGCAGTGTCTGGGAAACAATGTAGGTCTCTCCTGGGCACATTTGGAACTCGACATCCAGGTGACATAGATGAGACTGGCATCCCACTGAAGCAGGCTTTGTCACAGGCTTGTTTTGTTGTTTTCGAGACAGCCTTGTATGTAGCCTTGAATGTTGTGGAACTAGCTTTGTAGATAAGGCTGGTCTTGAACTCACAGAGATCCACCTGCCTCTGCATCCCAAGCGCTGGGACTAAAGGCATGTGTTACTACTGCCCGGCTCACATGCATATTTTTAACTTGGTTAGAAAGTCAGGTAAAAAGTTCAGTTTCTGAAGACAAAACAAACAAAAAACCCACCATCTCCACAGTCACAACCACTTGTAACTCCAGCTCCGGTGGGGGTGGGGACATGTCAAAGGTACTCATACACATAGATGAAAATAAAAATTCTGGGGAGACCCAGTCAATATGGGATTGCTTGTGAAAAGTTCAGTAGTTCACTTCCTCAGTATCTATTGTCCTGCAAGCAACGGTTCTAGTCCATTAAAGAAGTCTATAAATACATGTTCCTTCTTTTGGGATAGGGCCTGTTACCAAGAAAAGAAGTCACTTGCCAGAGAATACACATTGGAATAATTGAGCTAGGAAGCAGGGTTCACCGCCTCTGTAACCCCTGCTAGTTTTACTTTTAGTATTTTCTGTGGAGATAGTCTGCTACGGTTTTGAAAATAGGTAAGTGTGGTGATATATGATTTATTAAAGCTTGCCTGAGGGTTCAAGTGTGTACCCTAAAGAGAGGCATGTCAAGGCTGGAGGTGTGGTTCAGTTGGTAAAATGCCTGTATGGCTGATATCTCCAGCACCACATTGTGGTGGTATATTATTTATGATTTATTAAAGCTTGCCTGAGGGTATAGAAAGCAAAGCTAGCCAGAAGCCATAGGCAAGGCAATGGTGGCACATACCTTTAATCCCAGGACTCAAGAGACAAACAGATGGATCTCTGCTAGTTCAAGGCTACACTGAGCTATATGAAATTGATCCAGTCCTAAAGAGAAATAGCTCACACAAAGGTGATCTCAGCACTTGGGATCACGTGCCTTTAATTTCAGGATTTGAGAGGTATAAAAGAGGCAGCACTCTGGGATTGCAGTCTGAGGCTTGGTGGAGTCAGGAGGGCAATCTGGTGGGAAGATTTCTTCCCCAACCACGTTTTCAGCCTGAGGTAGAGGTAAGAGCTAGTGGCTGCTTTGCTTTTCTGATCTTCAGCTTGAAGCTTGAAGCCCAATATCTGTCTCTGGGTTTTTATTTTTCATGTTACACCACATAAACAGGACATGGTGGCACATACCTGGAATTCCTGCACTTGGGAAGTGATGGCAGAAGGATCAGAAATTCGAGACCATCTTCAGCTCCCTAGGGATCTCAAGTCCAGCTGGCGCATGAGACCCTTTCTTGAACAATGAAAACAAACAAACCCCAAAGATGTGTGCACAGTAGTGTAAAAGTAGGGGGAAATTTGACACAATCTAATGTTAACTAGTAAATGGGGCACAACCAAATATGAAATGATATTATAAATGTTTATTTACTAAAGCCACTTTATATCTTTCATATATATATATATATATATATATATATATATATATATATTCATAGGAAACAATAAGGTCATGGGTGACTCTTAGTTCCTTCAGGTTTTTTATTCCATAGCATCTGTTGCTTATGATACCGTGAGAGGAAATTCACACTGGGGCAGCATTCTTGACAATCAGCCTCTTCTCCCAAGCCTACCCTGCCTCACCTGTACAGCTGCCTTCCAGGGGTGCTAAGGAGTGCTCTCCAAGGATTCTGTGTGTATGAAGTATAAACATGTCTGTGACCACAAGCACATCCCAGTCTAGATGTTTAGAGATGGGAGAGGGCCTGTCTACAGCTGCTCTGATGCTCTGATGCTCAAATCATATTCGTCAAGCCTCACCCTCTGCAGTGCAAGGGCTGAGAGAAATCAGTTCCAAAAGAATCTCACAGAGGTGGTCTTCAGCACCAGAGGGAGCTGTTTCCCAGGACTGATGGTACCTCTTGGCTTGTAGGAGTCTGGACCGCCTGCAGTCTCCCAGTTCCTTCCAAGGAGCTCTGATGTCCAGGTGCATAAAGGCAGTTCTGTCTTTGCTGTTCGATGTCTGTGCTCACGGCCAGCACTGAGCAGATCAAGGATGACACTGCTCGCTCCCTTGTGGTTTGAGGCACAAGCACACCACTCTACAGCCTGCATGTTACACAGTGCAGCCCTGACTGGAGAGCTCAGGGTATGGAAGTGAGTCCTGAGTCAGCCAGCGAGGTTTCCTCCAGCTTGGCTTCTCTCCTGGCCCACAGATCCTGCCGTCCCCACCTCTGACGTCCCCATCTGCCCATCTTCAGCCTCTTCTATATGATGGGCACACAGGGAATTTAGATCATCAGGTGGATGCTGATCATGCACCAACCCCAAGAACTCAGCAAGCTCTGGTCTGCTCTCTACCCTATTCTGTGCATGCAACAACCGATCTGCCGCCCTTGTGGTGGTGTCCTATAGACATTATGTGGTCTTGTTTTGTGTTAAAGTAAATTCATAAAGAAAAGAAACTGCTCCCACCCAACCCTCCCCCACTAAAATAATACAGAGAACAATATATAGGAAGGTGAGAAATACTGGAAAAGGAGGGCTTGATCTCTTGCGTGAAGAGGTCTCTGAAGTCATGTAGTAGATGTGGCTTCCTGGTCATCTTTACACAAATTTCTCTGAAGGGCTGGGCTTGCCTCCTTGTCTGACCAGGGGCCTGAAAGAGAGGCAGGAGACTGAACATCATTGTAGCAAGAACCTCTTTAATGAGCCTGGGTGGGGATGGCACACACAAGGTCAACCTGGTCTACCCGCCAGTTTTTGATGACTCTGAGAACTTGTCCCTAGGGTGCCAGCAGGAATGGGTGAATGACCTCAGCTACCCTTTCCTTTAGTCCTCGTGGCACCCATATAGGGGTGTGCACTGCTCAGGGAAGGTTAGAGAACCTGTCTCAGGTCACACAACTATCTGCTGAAGCAGGATCTGAGCCCAGTTAGGCTTCCTCAAACCTTCTGGAGTCCCAGGAAGGCGAGATATTGAAGCTAATTGTTTTAAGTTACCAGGTGACCTGATTCTTATCCCCACAGCCCAAAATTAAGGATGCAGAGGGATTAGGGTGCCATCCTCAGTCAGGCAGAGTGTTGAAGCTCAAGGTCCTTGAACTTGATGTCACACTAAAAGTGGGTGCTATTTCAGGGCTAGCTGAGAGACCTGAGTGGCTCCTCAAAACCTCTCTACCTTTCGGCTGGAACTCAGCTGTGTGAATACCTAGGGGCTAATAAGCATAGCTCTGGTTTTTAGGGCAAGGGCAGGCTTTTCTGTTTTACATTTCAAAATGAGAGTATTCAGAAGAAGTAAAAATAAGTGACTGTCTTGCAGAAGCAACCAAGTACACCCGGGATCATGAAAATGAGGAAATCCCTTCACAGGCTTTTGTCTTTATGTCCTTGGCATACGGCCTATAACACAACCACACTGTTAACATTGCCTTGGGTTAAAGTGATGGCTAAGCTTCTGAACACAGATTCCAACAGGGAGATACAAAGTGTAAACCCAGATATGAAAGTTAAATACTTTCATCTAGTGGAAAAAATGTGTACAGTGGGTTGTACTTAGCACTCAGTCCCAGCTAGTGTGTGACCAGGGAAGCCAAAGTGAGTTTTAGGTGGAAGTTACAAGCCTGATATTTATTTTCAGTGTGACCTGAGACAAATCACCAAAAGTCCTAAGCCTCAGTTTCCTTCTCTGTAAAATGGAGGGCATAGTGAATACTTTAAAGATTGTTACAAAACCTGACTTGAAAAGAAAAACAAAACATACAGTTGTCCTTCCAATCTAAGGAGGACTTCAATATTATCCCTGCTTGGAGTGCCCACCTTGGATAGCCAAATCTTTGGAATTCCTTTTATGTAAAATGGTGTATAGCCTATACACATTCCCTTGCCACACAGATCATCTCTAGATGACCTGTAATACCTAAAACTGTAAAATATCTTTATCATTTAGGGAAAATGACCAAAAAAAGTGTTCATGATAGTCATGCCTTCTGATAATGTGGGACTCATGGCACACTGAAGGCTTGTTTTAAGAGGTCTGGTTTTGATAATCTGACTGTGATCCCATCTCTGCCCCTTTAGATGGGTTTCCTTATCTTGCAGCTGTGGTCTGAAAGTTGGGGGTGATGATATCTACAAGACGAGGCTGTGGCTGCTATGTAGATTCAGACAGATTCTAAGTGGAATCCCTTTGCCCCAGTGCCAAGCTGGGACAACACTTATTAGATGATTCCATCCTTGGAAGGCAAGGGTAGCTAGATGCCACCCTCTGGGGTGCAGGGGCTGTTGGATGCCACCCATGGGGTGAAGGAGCTATCTTAACATAAGGACAAAGCAGAGTGGAAACAGAGACCTCTCTTAGGTGCTGTAATGAGTTTTCTGATCACTTCAGAGTGACTGAACTGGAATTGGGTGGGGCAGATATTTGAGCTATCAGAGAGCAAACTGCCTTTGCTTCTGGTCCTTTTATCCCCTAGGCCCTGAAAGGACCTCAAGGCCCTGTGCTTTCATGAGAAAATTAGGAACTGGGGTCATTGTTTATTATGTTTCAGTAATAAAGCTTGGCTTTCTCTTTTAAAAAGGAGCAATTAAGAGGGAAAAGTAAAGAGGTGTCTTAATTCACCTCTAAAACACCCATATGGAATCATCTAGAACAAGAGAAGGACCACACATACTCCTGGAGCTATGTGGAGTTGGAGGGAATTTTGTTGTTGTTTTTGGTTTTTGGTGGTGGTAGAGGAGGTGAGCTAGACTGAACAGGATTGTCAGAAAGTCACACTGCTCTTCCACTAAGCCCTTTGTGGTCCTTTCTTTTCTCAGGAATGAATTCCAATACCTTACCAGCCTTCTGCATCTCCTTGTTCAGGGACTGGTTGGCTCCTGCACACCTGCCACTAGGACTTCACTGCCATGACCTCTCTCTGGGTAAGATTCCCAAACCACATGCCACTGGGCAGCCAGGACCACTGGGACCCTGGCTGCCCAGGGTGATCAGGCCAGAGTTCAGAGACTGACTCACCTGGGACATTTGCAAACACGACGTCGGTTTCCTAGACAAGGAAGAAGGGACTTGTAAATAACTCTTCAGAGTTGGCGTGAACACTACTTTGCTGATCCTGAAACTTCAGTTCAAAATAAAACATTTTAAACTTGGTTTGGTGGCCTATGTCTGCAGTCCCAGCACTTCCAGACTGAAGGAGGCTGAAGAATCAGATCAGAAGTTTGGGGTTATCCTAGGCTACATTACTAGTATTAGGCTAGCCTAGACAACGTGAAACCCTGTCTCCAGATGGAGAGGGGACGGGGGATGACACACAATGATGACATTATAAGTGTAGATGTGAGTCTGGGAATCTGCTGACCTGGCTGGCATAAGTCACCTGTACAGGACTCAGAAGAGTGACTGGTTTGTGGGGTAGGATCAAGGGCAAATCTCAAGGCAGCCATGGTTTTGACCCAGCTTTCTTGGGGCCAGGTTTCAGGGCCTCATCGGCCTCCTCCCTGGTGGGTTTACACTACCCTGGCTGTGCTAGCTGCAGGCTTAGCTGCTTCTGGCAGTCCTGGAATAGGGCTCTATGCTCCGAAAAGTTCCCAGAGGGTAGAAGGAGCAGCAGAGTGACCTGCCTGCCTCCTGCCTTCAGGAAAGCTGCACAGGTCCTACAGGGCAGCTGAGCTCTCCTGAACCTGAACTTCTCCTTCGAGAGCTATCTGGGGCAAGCACATGAGTGGGGCAGACTCCTCCCGCGGGGACTCCCCAGGACTTACTGTGGTAGCAGATGAGAGTGATGACCAGGGACAGCAGAAGGACCCCGCAGATTCCGGCTAAGGGTGCCCAGATGAAGATATTACAGTCGAAGTCCAATCCCCTCTTCTCTACTGACAAGATCCGAGTGGGTGGCATTGAGAAACCTTCTGGGCAGTCCCCACCCTCCCCGTCCAGATCCCCTCCAAGATCAGGGTTTTCCTTGGCAAGTAGCCTCCCAGGTCGTCTGCCTACCCTAATCACCGACCATGAGAGGACCTAACCTGAGACACCCGCCCCGGGTCGGCAAGCTTCTGGTCGCACAAACCGGGATGTCCCAGTAGTGGGCACTGGTGTGGGCAGTCGCGGCACTGGCGTGGTGGGCTTCTCTGCAGGAGCAACAGGATGCCTGCGGGTCAGGCTGGGGTGGTGGATGCCCTGGTGCCCCAACTTCCTCCCGCTTAGCTTTTACCCAAGAAGGCGCCTCCTCCTGGCTTTTTTAGAGAGGAAGAAGGGACCCCTGGACAAGTGCTGGGCCACTCTGCTGTTCTTGCTCGCACATGTGGAGCCAAGTGTGACTTTGGGCCTAGTGTGCCTGGACCAGATCCCGTAGAACAGCAGACGTGGCCCTAGAATCAATACCTGATTCTACCCCCAAGCCAACAAGGACAGGGCAATACACACATTCAAACTCCATCCCAGATCCCAGGCATTAAGAGTCACCTCCAATCCCACCTTAGCCTCAGTTTTCTGGTCTGTGAAATGGAGATGGTGTGAAAATAGCCCCCAAGGGGCCACAAGAGATTTAAGAGGAGGGTATCTGTGTGTGAAACATGTTCAGATGTGACACCTAACACCCAGGGGAAGGGACCTCTGTGCCCAGACCTGGCAGAAAGACTGGCACGAGAGGACTGAAGTGCACCACCGAGTTTCCTGTGACAGAGCAGAAATAGTAGCCTTCGGATTCCTTGCGGAAATTCTCCAGGGTGAGGGTGTACTTGTCGCCATTCTTCTTGCCAGAGAACTTAATTGAATGTAGGTCCTCGTTGCGTTTTTCCCGGGTCGAAGAGACATAGACGAGGAAGGTGGGTTTAATTCCGGAGCCCTCCTTCTGGAAGAGCCAAGAGCATCCTTGCGAAGTGGTCAACAGCACTTGGCATGAAAGCTCCACCTTCTCGCCAAGTTGGGTGATCACCTTCTTAGGCGACATTTGGAAATGTTCCAAACCTTGGAGCTCAGCAACAATGTCTGCGGGTGCCAGGTTAAGAGGCTGAGCCTGGGGTCCCCACACCCTCGAAGTACTCCAGCCCCTATCCTCCCCAGGATCATCAACTCACCCAGCAGCAGGGTCAGCGACAGAAAGTAGGTCACCCGTGAGGCCATGGTGTGCTTCCACCAGCAGCTTAGGTCAAGCTAGGGCGCTAGGGGAGGGGCCCAGGAACAGGGCGGGCGTGGTGGGTGAGGAAACTAGTCCTTTAGCTGGCTGCTCATTTCGCATCTGAGGATATGATGTCATCCGAAGCCCCCGCTGAAAAGATTGTTAGCCCCCTTTTCGCGGTTATCACCTCCCAGGGGGAAGGGAGCTCAGAGTCTGGAGCCTTGCAGAGCAGCTGGGGCCTGCTGAGAACTGAGGTTGGGGCAAGAGAAAATGCTTGGAAAGCGCCCTTTGGGGATTGTTCTATTGCAAGAATGGCAGAAAAGAGGAAGGAAAAAGATCAAATCTTAAAATAATAAAACGAGAGTGACAGGAAGGAAAGGGAGGAGTGCCCACTCTTTTTTCTTTTTCTTTTAGACAGGGTCTTGGGTAGCTAGCTCAAGCTGGCCTCAGACTTACTTCATGGCAAAGGATGGCCTTGAACTCTAAATCCTCCGCTCCCCCACTTCTGCTCTCAATAGTGTCTCTTATGCTGTGTCCCCCGTCCTCCCCCCCATCCTCCCCGGCTCAGTGAGGACCAGAGGTTGAGGTGAAAAGAGGAAGGATCAGACTCACAGCGATCACAACAAGGCAGACCTGACATAACCAGAAGGGTCTTGTGCCTTCCACCAAGAGGACTTCAAAGGGGGTGGTTCCCCTGGAGCCTGTGTTTTCAAACCCTTGCTACTCTCTACCTGGCAAATGCCAGGACCCTGCAGTCTGCAGTCTGACTTGGACCTCATTTCTCTACTGCTCTACTCAAAGACAAGCAAAGGAGCCAGCATGTGGGCATGCATGCTTGCGAGAGTGTTTGCATGCATGTCCTGGGTGAATCCTGGGTGAAGGTACTTACTCTTTTCTGTCCCCGGCACACATGGACCTCATTCTTTCTTGCCCACTGCTGTCCTGAATGCCGCAAGCCTCAGTGATGTGCTTTCCTCTCAGTTTCTCAGGGTTTCCACTTAGCGGTGTTTCCCCACTTAGAATCCCATACAGGATGAACCGTTAGTGCTACTGTTTGATTATAGCTTGAGGGGAGTCACCTGGGATCTTGCCAGCCCCTTGTCTAACACTTGAGTTCTGCCCAGTGGCAATCTGTTTGCTATAGCCTCCAGAGTATTGGTACTACAAGCTTGAGTCACCATGTCCAATTTACAAAAACAAATGTTGGATAGTGTGTGTCTTTGATGTCACACCGTAACATGTGTTTACTGAACTACACTCCTCTGAAGAAATTTGCTTTTCTGTTGTTTTTGTTTGAAGATGATATCTCAACTCTGTAGCCTAGGCTGGCCTGGAATTTACTATGTAGTGCAGATAGGCCCTGGGTTCACAGTATTCTGATTTCTTCAGTCTCCAGGGTGCTGGGATTACAGGCTTGAGCCACCAAGCTCAATAAGGCTGACATATGCAGACAAGTATGGAATGAGCTCTTAAAAGCAGCTTTGGTTTCAATGCTCCCTGCTCTTAGAACAGCCAAACGCTTACTCTAACATGAACATTTTATGTTTAGAGTTGCTTAAAGGGTAATTTTATGTATTTTATTATTACTGTGTCTGACGTGGGAGGTGCATAGGTGACACAGAATGAATGTGGAAATCAGAGGACAGGTTGATGGGGTCCTTTCTCTCCTTCCACTTTTACATAGGTCCTGGGGATCGAACTCAGATCACCTGGCTTTTATGGCAAGCACAGCACCTACTCAACCATCGCCTCTGCTCTAAAGTGACTTTTTAAATTACAAGAGTAATACATTCTTGAAAAAAAAAATCGTTAGACAAGGGGCTGGCAAGATGGCTCAATAGGTAAAGTATTTGCTGTGCAAGCTTGAAGTCCTGAGTTCAGATCCTCAGCACCCACGCAATTCCATTGCCAGGAGGAAGAGACAGGGGATACCTACCTAGACCAGCTCTATCAGTGAGCTCTGTGTTCAACTGAGAGACTCCGTCTCAGTCCATAAAGTGGAGAGCAATGAAAGATACCAACTTTGGGCCCTGCACTCCTGAATACACTTGTACATGTGCACCTGTAGCCCCACACTGGCGCACCCCCCTCCCCCCCGAGGCACACATGCATACATATCACATGTATAAACAACTATAAATTCTAAAATGCCAGACAATACAAGAATGAGTACAGAGAAAGTCCTCCATCTCATCACTCCTCATTGGCTCAGTTCTTCAGTCAAAACCACTGTAACAGTTGGCTATGTCTCTTAGATGTTGTCTGTGCACAGATGTTTATCATTTCAAATTATGTATTGCAAAGGTAGTATTATGAACACACACACACACACACATATATGTATATATATTCAATTTTCTTACTTGAGAATAGAAGAAAAAAGCTTTTCACACTAGTAGGTGTAGACTCACCTCATTCTTTGACATGGACGCATTCCACATGGCTGTTTCATAATTTAGTTCTATTAGTGGGCTTTTAGGCAGTTCCTATTTTGTGTGATTATTGTACTATCAAGGCTGTTGGAGAGAGAGAAATATTACTCCTGTAACATTGTGTCATTGAAGTCATAAAGTTCACACAACATTTTCAATTAAAAAATACATTTATTTATTTAGTGTGTGTACCCCCATGTGCCTCAGCATTCTAGGCCAGAGGACAACTATGGGGGGGTCAGTTTTTTTCTTCTACTGTGTGGGTTTCAGGGATTGAACCCAGGTTGTCAGGCTTGGCGGTGAGCATCTTTACCCTTGTAGCTATCTCACTGGTGCCTTGCATAACACCTTCAATGGAAGATAAAGGAGTTAGAGAAGAAAAAAACCTTTATTCTGAGCAATGAGTGTATTGCAGGCCTGACTGTGAGTGTGTGAATGTGTCTACACATATAGTGTTTTTATGTCTCTAGATATATTTGTGCACATACGGTGTGTGTTAGGGGCGGTGTTTGTATCTGGCTGGGCAGACACAGTGCTTCTCTTCACTTACATTAATGAGAACGACAAGGAAGCAAGTAACTTTAGGCCACCCACACGACAAATCTTGTTTTAGATGACAGTTTCCTATTTTACTTGGTCACTGACCTTCCAAAGGAGGGTATTCACAGGACCCTGGTGGCCAGAGAATATGTGAGAGGATGGAAAGACGCTAAAGTATTTCCAGAGGAGGGCCACAGTTAGCCTTCAGTTTGTGGGTCTTCAGAAGGAGGTCCCCAAGTAGATGAGGGACTGATTTGGGATGAAAATTGTGGTTCCCTTCAATCTCCCAGAAGTGAGCTATGGCTGGCTTAGAATGTCTCCAAGTTTCAGCTAAGAAAACTGCCAGCCACAGGGTGCCATCTCCCTTTGCACAGAGCACCATGGGAGGTGAGGGGAATGCCAAAGCAGCATGTCAAACCCACCAAAGAGCTTCTGTGACCCCAATAATATTTTTCACAGAAGCTGGTGGGTTCTCAATGTTAACCACAGTGACATCCGCCCTGCAGCAGCAGCAGAGCTAATGTGCCTGCATCGTTCCGAGACGCTTGCTCGCTGTAGCCCAGGTGTGCAGAGAGCTGGGGTTGAGCCTGTCCATCATCGCATGTGATTTCCTGTGCTCATCCTGTGATATGCACATGGGATAGTTTGAAGAAAGGGGTGGCACTCTGTCACACAAGTATCTTGTCCCGTTTTTAAAGGACAAGTTCTCACTATGTAGCCCTGGCTTTCCTAGAACTCACTCACTAGGTAGACAAAGCTAGCCTCAAACTCTCAGAGATCTGCCTGCCTTTCTGCCTCACCAGTGCTGGATTTAAAGAAAGGTACCACCACGGCTGGACCTGTATTTAAGATATGATAGACAGAATAGACAGTAGCCCTTGTGCTGGTTTGAATGAGAATGACCCCATAGGCTCATTTGTTAAAGACTTGGTCACTTGCTGGTGGAACTGTTTAAGAAGGATTAAGAGGTGTGGTTTTGTTGGAGAAGTTGAGTCACTGGGGGCAGGCTTTGAAATTTCAAAAGACTTTCCAGTGTGTCCTTGCTCTACTTCCCCTTTGTGGATCAAGATGTGAGCTCTCAGTTACTGCTCCAGAGCCATGCCCTGTCTGCCTGCCCAGTACTACGCCTCCCGCCATGATGGTCATGGATTCCTATCCCTCTGGAACTTTAATGCCCAAATAAGTGCTTTCTTTTATAAGTTGCCCTGGTGATGGAGTTTTATCACAGTGATAGAAAAGTAACGGAGGCACCCTAAGTGAGCTTTGTCCTTATGTTTTTAGAACATGGAAGTGAAGTCATCTTAACTATGCAAGTTTGAATTACAGTAGAGGGAAAGACACCTGTCCTGAGCCTTCATCAAGGCTCTGTGCACTTATGGAATCATGACTCTGACGTGGCCTGCTGCTTCCCTCATCAGCTCAGGTCTACACAGACAGCGCAGGTAACTCAGGACCTCATTGTGTCTCAGTCACAAATACCTGTCAAGAGGTCCCGTTACGTCTAGAAGACACTGTTTCAGCAGCCTCTAACTCTTAGAATCTTTCCTCCCCTCTTTCGAGACACCCCCCTGAGCCTTGGAGGAGGGTGGGTGATATAGATATGGAGATAGAGACTGGGCCCTGCACAGACACTTACTCTCCATGCTTTGACTGGTTGTGAGTCTCTGTATTAACCACCTTCCAATGTATGACCTTCTCTGATTAGGGCTGAGAAACACATTAATCTGCACATTCATTTTTCTTTACAGCTGAATAAGATTCCTTTGTGTAAATGTACAGAGTTTTCATCATCCACCCACTCATCGGTTGAGGGACACAGGCCGTTTCCAAGCCTTAGCTGATATGAATGGAGCATCAGTGAATGTGGATAAGCAAGGGTCTCTACTGTAGGGTGTGCCATCCTTTGGGTCAATTCCCAGGAGTAGTATAGCTGACTGTACTAACGATGGCTAATCTTGGTTGTCAATTTGACTACATCTGGAATTGGTTAAACCCAAGTAGCTGGGAACACCTGTGAGGGATTTTTCTTGGTT